GCCACAGAATCCAGTTCCTCATCCTTGGCTGAGCTCATGAAGATCAGCTTATTACATCGCTTGCCCCAGGTGCGTTTCACGTGGCGCGCCTTCTTCTTGTGATTGGAGGGATTTGTCATAATCCAGCAGAGAATGCGCACTTCGCTATGCAATTTCTCGGCAATACTTGTGTTCTCATTTGAGTGCTCGTGCGTGCCGATATCCTGTTCGGGGCCGGACAGCTCCAGCATGTCGTGACTGTGATGGGCGTCGTTGACATCGCCGTGCCGATGGCCGTCGTAGGGCGCAAACTCGCCACGTTCCGGCGTGGATGAGTAGACAAACAGCTCGGCCAGGCAGAAGCCAACGACCAGGCCGACAATCAGTGAGACTAACGAACGTTTGTTGGAACGTCCTAAAGAGCGATGAAAACATAAAATCCAATATGTTTAAAATGACTCGATCATTTCAAGATTTATTTAAAACTCACCTTCATTGAGTAAGGAGCGTCCCAATAGGCTATTGGCAGTCATTGCTTGTCTTATGTAGGTTGTCTCACTTGGAGGTTGTAAAAGGCAACCTCTCTATGCTCTAGGCACTTAGTCTTTGGTTTTCAGGGGCCGCTCGAGGAGCCTCTTTGGTTGTGTTGCTTGGGTGGAGTTAATAGATATCCTCAGCGATTTACATCTTCTGCAAAATGAAATATATTGTAGTTCCATGCATAAAATCTTGAATATCCGGCAAATTGCTTTGAATTGTAAAGATTGAGCGTCTCATCTTCTGCACTCGCCTATCTCTCAATTACAAGTGTCATCTATCTGGGAATTGTGCAACGGGGCGATGCTCGAGACATGACTGTATTATTAAATATGCGAAAACGTGACAATTGATTCATTTGAGTTCCACTTGGCTCAGCTGCAGCAACGTTTTTTTTTTGCTTCATTTTTTTTTATATATATTTTTTTTTATAATATGCTCAATTGTTGCATCTTTTATTTCTTATTTCATTTTTATTTGCTTTGTTTGGGTGTTTGGTTTATTTATTTTATAAATCTCATTTTAATGCATTCTGCTATGCGTTGGTGCTGATATCAATTAATTATCTCCCGAACGTGCATTACGTTTGATTAGCTCAACTGGGTCAATAGTCTTGTGCTTGTGCCCCTTTGAACATGTACTCGTATCTCGTATCTCTAGTGTTTGTTATATATTTCAGATCTTGTATACAATATTGGCATACAAAAATATATATGTACATTTTTTGTAAACATTTGTATGTATTTTTATTTAGTTAATTTCACGTCAATTTGCTAGCTGAGCTCTTAGGCTTGTAAAAAAACAATTCAGGTTTTCTAATTATTTTTACAAAAGCCAAACTTGTTTGGGTTACAGCTTTTAATTTTATGCATTTTAAACAAATATTAAGGCCTTTTTCGTATAGTATGAAGGCTCTATGAGATATAAGATTCTTAACCGTTTAAGAATTGTGCAGAAAATTTGAAAAGGTGATTTGTGATGATTTGTTTAATTGATAGCTTGATTATAAATAATTATGTACAGTTTGATAAGACAATTAAATTGAATGCAATTTTCTGTTTCATTTTAAGTTCTGTATATCAAATTAATTTTGATGAATTTTGAAGTTATTGTAATTTTTTAATTAATTAAATTAATTTATTTATTTGATAATTTTAAAGATGTTATTTATCTATTTATTATATTATTTATTCACAATTAACTAAATTATTTGTATATCTCATATATTTGGATAA